AGTACCCCCCATAGTGACTGTCCTACATGACCAGCCTGTAAGTACCCCCATAGTGACGGTCCTACATGACCAGCCTGTAAGTACCCCTATAGTGGTCAGTCCTACATGACCAGCCTGTAGGTACCCACATAGTGATTAGTCCTACCTAACCAGCCTGTAAGTACCCCTACAGTGATTAGTCCTATCTGACCAGCCTGTAAGTACCCCCATAGTGATTAGTCCTACATGACCAGCCTGTAGGTACCCACATAGTGATTAGTCCTACATGACCTACCTGTAAGTACCCCTATAGTGATTAGTCCTACATGACCAGCCTGTAGGTACCCACATAGTGATAAGTCCTACATGACCAGCCTGTAAGTACCCCTATAGTGATTAGTCCTACATGACCGGCCTGTAGGTACCCACATAGTGATTAGTCCTACCTAACCAGCCTGTAAGTACCCCTATAGTGATTAGTCCTATCTGACCAGCCTGTAAGTACCCCCATAGTGATTAGTCCTACATGACCAGCCTGTAGGTACCCACATAGTAATTAGTCCTAAATGACCTACCTGTAGGTACCCACATAGTGATTAGTCCTACATGACCTACCTGTAAGTACCCCTATAGTGATTAGTCCTACATGACCAGCCTGTAGGTACCCACATAGTGATTAGTCCTACATGACCAGCCTGTAAGTACCCCTATAGTGATTAGTCCTACATGACCGGCCTGTAGGTACCCACATAGTGATTAGTCCTACCTAACCAGCCTGTAAGTACCCCTATAGTGATTAGTCCTATCTGACCAGCCTGTAAGTACCCCCATAGTGATTAGTCCTACATGACCAGCCTGTAGGTACCCACATAGTAATTAGTCCTACATGACCTACCTGTAGGTACCCACGTAGTGATTAGTCCTACATGACCTACCTGTAAGTACCCCTATAGTGATTAGTCCTACATGACCAGCCTGTAGGTACCCACATAGTGATTAGTCCTACATGACCTACCTGTAGGTACCCACATAGTGATTAGTCCTATCTGACCAGCCTGTAAGTACCCCCATAGTGACTGTCGTTCATGGTCTACCTGTATTTGTGTACCCACATAGTGACTGTCCTACATAACCTGCCTGTAGGTACCCACATAGTGACTGTCCTACATGACCTGCCTTTAAGTACCCCTATAGTGACTGTCCTACATGACCTACCTGTAAGTACCCACATAGTGTTTAGTCCTACATGACCAGCCTGTATTTGTGTATCCATATAGTGACTGTCCTACATGACCTGCCTATAAGTACCCTACAGTGACCAGTTTTAAATATTACTTTTATGTGGAAATCTCCATAGTGACTAGTCCACCATTCCCTGTCTGTAGATACCCCCATAAAAAGTCACCAAATCCTATTCTACACATGGCCTGCTTATACTCCTATTTAGTGACCTGTCTTACATGGCACTAGTGTGGCTACCCCTACTGAGACCAGTGATACATCCATAGTGACAAGTCCTGTATGTACCAGCCCTACAGTATATTGTCCACCAATAGGTACAGGGTACACCCATATATAGTCCATAGTGATGAGTCCTAGATGACCTGCCTGTAAACACCTCTGGCCACATATATAGTGACTAGCCTGCATGTAAATAACCCCATAGCAATGTACCAGGCTATCATATTTTGATAAATAGATATCTATGGCTTACATTGATTAACCTAGAACCTCTATAGAGTGAACACTTCCAACTCAGATTACCACCTCCCTATTAACATATGACCCTGGCTGTTGTAAAGATATTAAACCCCATCAAAATAAAATATTTCACAAATTTCTGCCTCATAAATTAACTTCACAGATACCTCTATTACCACCATCATGTTCTACATGACCCATTAGGCAGCAAGTGCCAGCCTTCTGATCTGATTTGTCAAGTTAACTGATTAAGTTTTGGTCCAGTCATTTTTCTGTGTATTTAGGATATAGACTAAATTGCCACCTACCTCTGAAAATCAAATAATCCGTCGACAAACTGACCATGTCTTGTACAAACAGACCACATGCCTGATTTAGCGCCTAATAAAGTTCTGAGTACAAATCCTGATCACAACATCAAATATCATAACAAAAACTTCCAGACAGGTAGTAATTAAATCTTCTCTCATAATTACTCTCACACGGTGTAGATTATCACTGTAGTCCATTAATTACCAGCCTTTAGTGTGTAGTGAACTATGAATAATATGCAGAAGATGAAGTCAATACCTTTCAAGAAGAATCCACGAAGTTACTGGCTCAAGAACGGTTGTTTACCAGAAAATATTTATAAAATGAAAGGTATTTAGATACGCAAATATAAACAACTACCAGATGATTAATATGATAATGTTTATGTCATTTCAGAAATCTCATGTAGCTGTGTTACCTATATAGACACTTGCACTTGTGAATATAACACTGCCACCTGGTGTGCTTCAAATACAAATTACACCATATATACGCATACTTACGATGTAAACAAATGTATATGTGACATGTAGAAAAGGTTAAATTTGTAAGACTGTACCAACACATTGCCAGACTATCTCACAGGGAACTCTATGAGATTATTTTCAAACATGCAAGCCCCTAAAGCCAGCAGCACAGTAAACATATGCACCAACACTTCTGGCATCCACTAACGTCGCAGTTTATAAATCACAAATCACAAGATGACCGAGTATTGAAAATAAAAGAAATGTTTCATACAGCTGGTGTAAGAATAGATTTACATTTCTCAATGCGCATCACATGTACAACTCTAACAATTGAGATTTTTACAAGTGGTTTTAAAGGCTTTAAGCTATCATTTAAAGAGATGCAGTCAACATCCTTGTCACAACATAAACTTAATCCAATGGTTGAATAGATATGTGGTTATGGTTCAGCAGATCATTAATTAATCAATCAGGTACATCTGTCCTTATCTATAATCAATACCACAATCCTTAATTAGAATTCCGTGGTTAAAATAGACCAGTTGTTGACACAATTGTAATTCAATGCCACAAAATCCACATCACATTTTATTGTCAAGATTGAACTTTAAGACCTTAAGATTAATACTTTTTACCACAGGGATAGCATAAATGTATATGTATTAAGAAATTGCTTACAGTGGCTGGCCAGTGCCAAGTATGTGTTCCTACAGTAAACATATCAATCATACACTCCGCATCATGTTGTCTCTCTTGCTACAAGTACTTTGGATTGTACTCTTCTGTGATATCATAATGTTAGGCAGTATTGGTGAATTAGTGTTGATGGCTAACACTACTTGCTTTGAAACTTGATGTGGAACACTTAAAGTTACCAGGAAGTACAGGAAGTAAACCAAGGCGCGGGACAATATATGCCTGTCCCACGACAAAGAAATACTTATCATTTATCGTATGGAAAAGAATGCAGACATGGAATTGGTAATAATGAATCAAATGGGGAAAACAGTGCCGCATATTTTGATAACAAACAGGTGGGTGGAAAACTGAAAGAAATCATTTGACAAGATTAAAATGCTGAAAGAACAAATGGACAAGAGTTTCCTTTTATTTATTTATTTTTTTTTGAATATTGTCAAATAAAAATCCTATTCAGGTGAACACAGTCTCATTTTATGGTTTTAAAGCTTAATAAGTTTCTAAGAAATTTCTGGTTGAAAAATGAGAAAGGCGATATACAGATAAGATGAAAATTGTTAAAAAAACAAAGGACCATAAGCCTTCCCAAAATTGTGAAGTTACACAAAGGAAAGCACATTTTCATGTTATGTCTAATCATATAAAGTCTACCAAGTTTAGAGTAAATGATGTAAAACTGAGGAAAGAGAAACAGATCTCCAGAAAACCAGTAAATCTTTCAAAACGCGTCAAATCAAAAAAACATTTTGGAAAACACAACTTCATGTCGATAATGATTAAGCCTCACAATGAAAGTTCTGAAGGAGATTAGCTAAAATGAAAACTGTGTGAGGACATCTTGAACAATATTAGAATTTTAAAACAATGAAGGGCAGTAACTGTTCCAAATACAATCTTTTTATGAAGAATTTGTTTTTACTTTTTTCAAGATTCTAAAATCTTACAAATTTGAAAAGTTGATTTTGTGAAACCTGACAAAAGTAATACCAAGTATGATATCCAATATATCTCAATCTGCAACTTATGCAACTTCCAGAAAATTGATATTCACAGAAAATATAACATCTCAAACATTCTTGCAGGAAACAAAATGTCCGTCGATGAGAAGATATCATAATAATGATAAAAAATCAGTCTCTTGTTTAAATTGATTTCCAACAACAGATTTAACAGACCACAAACTAGTATTGATTTACCTTCAGTACCACTGGTTATGTGACAAAATTATAGATAATTATACCTATATACCCCAGGTGTGTATGTTGTAGTGATGAATGCTACCATTAAGCTTATGAAACAATTTACATACTGGAATAAAGAATCATGATACCAATATTTCTATACATATTACTATAATATCACAAAGTCATACAGTATTGTGATAACTTGGTAGAATTGTGTTGAACTTACACTCTTAGGATGAAATGATGTTTTCATTGCAATAGCTGAACACCAACAATGCAAATATTTCACAGTATATTTAATCAATACCAGTATTCACTGGTAATATCACATCATATACAAGTTTTACTTAATAAGCATTTTAATTTTACAGACAACTTTCATGTATATCTGAAAATATTAATAATAATTGAAAATAAATCCACCGACACATGTTATTTATCTACATTTGCTAGTTTGATTCTGCATTCATCAAGTCATGATTAATATCAATGGAGGTACTAGCATATACCAAGACCAGCAAATGCAAACATCAAGCTGTCAACAGCACTTGTCTCAACTAGATCTATTTACTCTATAAGTGTATATCAATTAAGTCAGTGACCAATATATTAAACAACATAGCCATATAATTTTGAAGTATTTTGGAGAACTTACATTTTCAGGGTGTCCAATACATGAAAAGATGTCCAGAATTTTGTAGAACTTTTTCTGATCCAGTGAGAGCTGTCAGCCAAGTTACAAACAATAATGTGCTGTCTACTGTTTTGTATATACTCTCAGCATGGCCATCATTTACAGGCAATGCAAGAATCTTGTGTACTATGGACTTTAAAATAGAAGAGTCAGCACATGAACACCAGAACACTTACTAGGACATGTAAGGGGAGATTACTCATGTATATACTGGTATAAGAAGGTCCGGATATATCATGTTTTACTTTAATCAGGACTGAAAGGACTTCCTTCCTGGCATAAGATATTCTGTGTATTATACATTTGTATTGGTACATACACTTTTTTATAGGTAATGCATACATACTTAGATAACTATGAATAGAGATAACAGTCTACTATTCATTCCATAAAACAGAGAAAAGACAAACTGTTATCTGATATTAGGTAACTTTTCTGTTGTTGGTAGCACTAGATAAAGAAATATGACACAGTGCAGCAGTCGTGTGTAACTATTGATGTATCAATAATGACTCTATATTAACAGCAAATACAATTATCTACGATTCCTCAATAAATATCCTAACATTTGGGTTCATCAGTACATTGTACCTTATAATGACTGTCTGCCAAAGGGAATGGTAATTGTTAATGATTAGGGTTTTCTTTGTCAGGATAACAATTGTCCAGTATCATGACATCAATACCAGTTTATCCTTTCAAAAAATTATGATGCAGGCATGCATGAACAACAGAAGCTGATCCTGTCAGCAACATGGAAATTCTAGAACAGTGCATACTGGTATTACATATATCATATTTGCATATGTATATTCCTATATAGGTCAACCACCACCTCTTACATGTATTATCATACATAGAGATGATGTATCTCTCCTCACTGGGAATTTTAATTGTCCTAGCACTGCCCGTAATTAACTTTAAGTGAGGAATGGAAGAGACAATAATATCAGTTACCAAAGTCACATGACTTCATAATCGACCTCCTTTCTGAGTGCACATTAGATACATTGTTCCAGATTATGGGAAGTTCTCCAATAGTAAGACTTTCTGCCCACAAATGTATCCCTTCATCATCCAAATACATACAAAGTCACATAACACCAGACGTTTCACATGAATATGTGTAATGTCTGGTGTTCACATTGGGACCGAGGAAACTTGGTTAATGGTGAAGTATACATATGACCTCATCACCCTAAGTAACAACTCTCCGTCCCACTAACATTGCTACCTCTATCTGTAGTGATGTTACGACCTTTACCAAGGGATTGTTATTGAGACCAGACCTTACAGTATTTCTACATACATACCATCTAATTATATTAACTGCCAACTAAAAATAATTTCACAACCTGATTAACTGTATCCTTTTCATTCTGCGTATATGAATTATTGATGCAAAAGATTCATTTCACAACTCTCAACATATTTAATATGTTTGGTTTTGGTTTCCTGTGGTCATTTAAGAATGGCCTCCCTATATATATGAAGTAACTGTATGTATGTGAATGTGTGATTTTAGTGTGCAAATGATATTGACATTATAGTGTTGCCACACTGTAGTACTGCCAAAGGCTCCCAGCAAGACACCACACCATTTTACAAGCAAACCAGTTGTTACAAGGCTGAGAACAAACACAGAGTAATGTAAATACCACTTGTAAAGACTCTGGTACATGCAGGTCTCGCCATGGAACAGAACTCAAAGTCTTATTTATAATTATAATAAATTATGGTTGAATGTTGAAGCCAAAAGTGAGACATTGTCAAGGGAGACAATTAGGAATAACAGTTGTTTAGAAAGGAGAGGCGAAAAAACCAAATCTAAAATTCAGTTGTCTCTTACAAAACATACAATGAGGACTACATAATGAGGAGTATGTACACCATATTTACTCTAAAATAAGCCAAGAGACTATTATCTAAGTCTAGGGATGGCCTTGTTACAGGCCAATAAGTCTAAGGTACAAACATACATTAAATTCTGACTCAAAATATAGAGGTTGCCTTACTGCAAGACTAGGAAATAACACCTGTTTTTAATTCTATAACAAAACTTGATAGACACAGGTTTAATTATAACCAGACATGGGTTTCTTGTGGGATAAATATGGTATCACTTTACTTCACACGTTTAAGAAAGTAGTAAATTACAAATGACGAACTATACAAGCTATGTGATTTTTGTTGCATTAGTGACAATAACAATACTATGTTTGTTACCTTGTTATAAATAGGTCATATTGTCAGTGGCAACAAATGTAATCATATAAGTGTACTAAGAAACAACAAATGTAAACACTTTGTATATAAACTGATATATGTGCCATTTTGTTGATCTGAAGTCTTCAGTCTTTTTCACACAGTTGCCGAATTAAAATTTACACAACTACAGTTAAGGTAATGATAGAAACACGTGTTAAGTTTCAGAAAAATGGCTTGTAATATTTTTTTAGCTAGAAATGACCAATATGTGTCTTTAAATCATCACATGCCAAGACTGCAAGTGTGAGTATGTACACAAACCACGTTAAAATCTGAAAATTACAAAGGTAATGGAAATGGATGAAGTGATTAGCAACATGGTGCTACACAACGAGCAAAACAAAGAGACTCTCTGTCCCAAAACCATACATTAGTAACAGAACTTCAAAGTCCTGGTAATATTCTCATCTACAAAAAAAGAAACAACAACAAGGATTTCCTAGAAATAATCTCATTTTAAGTTCCTGTTGGGTTTCAGTATTGGATTACAGAAAACACCTCTCCTATTCTTGTACAATCACAGACACTTCCATTAAACAAACTATAAATCTTGATTTTTCTGAAGACCTTAAAAGTTGTGAAACATTAGTGTACAGTTTCCATTATGTACTGGCATTCTCAACAACAGTTAATACTTAACGAATTCAACATAACTATGACATCTTTCTGGAACAAGTAACATTAACAGAAATCAGTATAGATCTTCAATATAATCTTTTTAAATACCTTTTGATTTGCATCAGAAATTGGTTACCATGTTAAATAATGGATCTGAAATGCCCTTTGGCCTATAGGATATAATATGTCTACGACACAATGTCATATTTAAAGGAATTAATGAGGTTTTAGTCATGCTTTTACCAAACATATCTTATAACTTAGATTGCATACTGATAATGTCCATCACGTTTCAATTCTTGAGAATCTTAAATTGACAGCATTCAAATTAAACTGGCAAAAGGCAGATCATATTTTTGTACTTGAATCTTATAGCTGCCTGCTGCAGTATGAACTTGGTAAATTAAGAATTGTATTTTCTTAGCTATTAAGATTCTTCTGATTTTTCCTGAAATATTTCATGACAATGTTTTGATTAGAGAAACGGTCTTTTTCAGTTGTAAAACAGCCCAAATACGGACAACAATCTTGACTATTAGATCAATGATGAAATTTGAGATAAGCAGTATCATGCATATCCAGGGCCCATTCTATTATAATTTGTAAAATTTGCATGTTATAACACATTATGTAAAATAGATCACACACAGGGAACAGTTTGGACTATTAAATTAGATCTATGTTGTTAGAATGTGATAAATACATCATTGTGCACATCTGGGACCTATACCTGATCACATCCCGAAAGTTTTTAGAAGAACACTATAGCAGTTCACCATGATCAGAAATAGCATGACAAGAATTGTATATGTGATATATATAATGGATGGACAGACCTAGACTGCCAATCTCAATGACAAACAAAAAATATTATGGTGGGCTGAAATAATATCTGGTATCATCAGTGTCATTTGAATGTGGAATCTAAAGAAGACTTTCCTTTTCTACCTTATACTTCATACAGGCCCTATTGTATATGAACAGTACAATTCATGATATTTTTTTTTAAATATTGCAATTATCATGCAATAGATCAACGGGTGAAAGATATTGTCTTCCTTCTCATTGGTTGAGTTTATTATGTGAAAATGAAAGATCATTTGTTTGTTATTCAATTACTGTTCAACAAAAATAGTTGATGCTGGTGCCAGGGCTTCATTTTTATACTCTGTATTAACCTTGGGCTTACTGAACATATATCTGGTAAGTTTGACATATGATTCACACGGAAGGAATGAATACCCTATTTTCTAGGTTATAAGCTGTGGCATTTTTCCTCTGCAATTGGGCATGTGACTTATATGTGGACAAAAACATAATTGGCAGAATTAAAAAGAAAATGAAAAGAATAATCTGGACATCGATTACAGACTGTTATGTACTTCGGAACAGCCATTGTGTTGCGGCATATCACATGCACTAATGAACAGTGTGACTTGCACCCTGATCATTTTGGTTGCTGTAAAATGTCACACTTCCAGAAAGAATTAGAAATGGTGATTTAAACCAAGGACACCACTATGAGATGTTGGTACCAAGGTCTTTTAAGAGAACCTGTCCATCACATGTTTGTGACTGAAACAGATTGTCCAGAACCATCATTTGCAACTGTATACAGGATGATTTTAAGATTGAAATAAAAATAATATTCTTGTGGATTTAATAAATCATACCTTTTATTAGGAAATAGCACCATGGTTGCTTCAGAAGCCATTGCTGCGGAAGTTTCTAACAGCCTTTTGCAACCTCGGATGGATAGGTCATCGGGTCAAATTCTAGAACGACCCCCATGCTTGTTTACGATAAGAATGGCTTCGTGTAACATACCAGAAATAGTATAAGACTATAAGAATTCTGTAAGCATGCAACAACCTTCGCTAATATTTAACAGTACAGACATTGATGAAGATATTGTTAAGTAAACTGTAAAAACGTCAGGCCCTGTATCTGTGCATAGTCAATCTTTGAAGACTATTTTACGTTTTTGCAAACACATCAATTAAATAAAGGATTGTCTTTGTATAAATCATTTGCAAACTTATTTTAAGTGTTTCACTGATGATCTTGATAAATTGCCATCCATTGTCTGTTACATCAACCAACTTTGGTAAACATAAGGGTTACCACAATGTAAGAAAGAGTGTGGCATATATCC